GAAACCGATACGGAACTGCTGTCTGATATACGATGGAACCTCTTGTTCCTATGTTGTTTTAAGTCATGTGTTTGTTTTTGTTGATTTGTTTATGTATTTAAAATAAAAAGTTTTTTAAAAATGTATACACAGTTTTATAGAATAATAACCCTCAGGGATATACAATCTTAACTTTTGGTGGTAGTAATATAGTACCCAACCTCCTGCCAAAATCAATCAACGATAATGGAATTTCACAAGGTGGAAATCAGTGGTGGGATTCAGTCAGTTCGCACCTATTCGGGAGAACCGGTTGGTAACTTTCTAAGTAGTTCAGAGAACTGGTTGTTGGAAGAAATCTTCTTTTGTTTTTTCCCCACACTTTACAGGGCTAATCCTGTAAGGAAGGCAGGAAGGAAACATTCTGGTGTTGTTTCTAGCCGAATCTTTATTGCCCTGCTTACAGAAACTGTCTCTCCGGTTAACCCTTATTAGATTGTAACAGCTAAGGCGAAGCGCCCATCAACGTGAATGACGTTGAGTTGGCCACGCCCACCCAGCCACATGACCACCGAGCCCCGCCTACCCAGATGGTCATTAGGGCAGAGAACCGGTTGCTAAATTATTTGAATCCCATCACTGGTGGAAATGTAGACGAGTCTAAATTGTATTCTACAAGACCTGCCCACCTCAGTATTAAGGGCCATTTATGATTTGAAGAAGAAATAATCATTTTCTTTGTTTCCATTTTCTAAGGTGTTAGAATTTTGCTCCAAATGGGAAAGCTGGCAGGAAGTTACAACTTGCACCCACAAGTCACTCCTATTCCTGCTACTTTTTCAACCATTCATCGGCACTCTGGCACATGAGGCACTAGCTTGTATCCTCACCTTAAGGTACAGAAAATGTGTCCTTATAGCAGCAAAACAAGCCAGAGCTATTGACAGGGACAAGTCAACTTTGCTTGTAGTGCTCTTAACTGTAATTTATTAAGAATGGTGAGAGCCAAGGTCCGTTTGTGCTTTTTTTGGAGTAGGAGAAATATAAGACTACTTAAATGTTGTGGCCCAGCAGGAGCCGTTGGAGCTGCCACCAGACTCCGACAGCGAGGGGCCCTATGAGTCGGCTCTGGAGGATGTNAGTGATCCAGATGTCAGCAGTGAGTTGTTCCTGGATGCCCGGCACCGAAGAGCTAATAGGCGTCAGGAACAGTTACGCAGTTACAGGAGGTAATTGCACTCAGCTGGTGGTCCTTAGGCTCCTCTCCAGACTATAAAAGGGATGCTTGTGCACACGCCCCTTTTGCAGAAGTCAACGCATGAACTAATGTTGGAGAACAGCATTGTGAGTTTGGCAGGTTGGATTACTGCCAAGACTTATCTGTGCCAGTTTGCTGCCAAGGACCTGTCTGTCTGTTAATAAATTCCGTAAAGTATCTTTGACTCAGAGTGTGTTGGTGTGGGACGAGGGGGGGGGGGTCACAACACTAACCTATGGCTGCCCTGGGATGTATTTTGAAAACAGATTTACAGGGGGAAAAATTCCATGGCTGAAGAGACCAGCGTGGCATGTATGTGAGTGTGTGTGTGTGTGTGTGTGTGTGTGTGTGTGCACACCCCCGCACACACATGCTTCATCCTTTTTACTTCACAACCAAAATCAACTCACACATCCACGAACAACACCGATCTTCCCCAATGCCTGTAGCGAGCCAGGTCTGCCAAATACTGAGGATCGAAGGTTGGCATCTCTAGAGAGTCCACAATATGGAGATCACCCTGCAAATTGGGGGGGTGGGGTGGGGGAAATAAGGACCTCTATATAATCCAGAGGCAAATGGACTACTCCACCAAAAACCCTGTTTCTGGAACCATTTCAAAGTGAAAGAGGCTTTATAATATGGAAGCTTTAACACCCCTGCCCACCAAAAACCTCCATATCCCCCAAGTCAATCAATCAGTTCAACCAAAGTATGGCAACATACTCCTAAAGCTTAAACAAAGCCTTCTCTAAAACCCCTTGCTCTCCTTGTTAACCCAGATTTCTGTGCAAAAGCATGCAAATAGCAATAGCAATAGCAGTTAGACTTATATACTGCTTCATAGGGCTTTCAGCCCTCTCTAAGAGGTTTACAGAGTCAGCATATTGCCCCCAACAAGAATCCGGGTCCTCATTTTACCCACCTCGGAAGGATGGAAGGCTGAGTCAACCCTGAGCCGGTGAGATTTGAACAGCCGAACCTGCAGAACTGCAGTCAGCTGAAGTAGCCTGCAGTGCTGCATTTAACCACTGCGCCACTTCAGCAAAATATTTGAAATATCTGAAACTCCAAACCTACATCAACTTAAATGCAGAAAGCTTAGAAAATAATTCAGCAAAAAAAATGCAAAAAAAAAACCAAGTATGGTCTCTATCATTCATTAATAGAGCTCATCATTCCTCTAGCTTCTGTCCCCACCTGGCATAGCAGCTGCTTTAAAAGTTTTTTAATGCCCGTTTTATTTAATCACAGTGGGCTCAGGAGAGCCCAAAATGTTTCTGGATTGTACAGACAGCTGCTCAAGGGAGCATCCATTGGAAAACTAGCTAGGAACCAACCCAACAAGAACCATAGAGTCTCATAAGCAGACCAGGACAGAACAGGCCTTCCCATTGCAAGATGGCTCTCGTACCTGCATCTGCTTGCTTGTCAGCGCCACCTTGAGGCCGAGCACGCGCTCTTTCATGGGAAGCATATAGTAATAGCTGGTGGGGCCACGGGGGCCAAAAGCCTTACCGCCTAGAATGAAACAAAGGAAGGGTCATAGAGATCAAAGACCTGCCTGCCAGAGCGCCATTCTTGCACGACCGGGCTGGATGTGAGCAGCAGAACCAAGCAGGCAGGGTGAAGTTGCGGTTCAAGAACTGAGCTCAAAACTGGAGAAACCCTGGCAACAAGGCCATCCTCAGCCACTGAAGCTCACTGGGTATTTGGGGGCCAGTCATGTTCTCTCTAGCCACGAACTCCCCCAGGATGTTACGAGAGATGAGTGTGGCTATATAAAGTTGCTTCCAGGGTACGCTCCGTACAAAGGTGGTTCTCATTTAACGGCCAAGAGTTTGAACTGGAAGGTTCTGAGAAAGTAATACATGGTATTGATGGCCACTGCGGTGTCCCCTGTAGTCATATGATCCGGTTCCACCACAAAACCGCGGTAGACTAAAGTGCGCTCGACGAAAGCGCGTACGTGACGTCATCACAGTGCGACGAAAACAGCACGCTGTGAGCGGTAAACTTAAAATTAACGCGTAAATCTAAACCTAACCCCCCCCAAACCTAACCCTAAACCTAACCCTAACCCTAACCCTTAACCTAAACCTAACCCTTAACCTAACGCTAAACCTAACACTAACCCTTAACCTAACCCTAAACCTAACCCTAACCCTAACCCTTAACCTAACGCTAACCCTTAACCTAACCCTAAACCTAACCCTAACCCTAACCTTTATGTGAATCGGCTTGCTGTTTTCNAGCTTTTGGTGTCTTGCTATTAAGGTACATTCCAGTTAAGCTTGTCTCGGCAGTCATTACTGGATGGAGGAGGGGGTGAGAACAGTTTGCTATGGGGCATTTTGCAGAAATGCTGGTTTTCAGCGAAAATGTAAATCGCTGTGACCAAAGGATCTTGCAAACAGCTATAAGGGTGAGTCAGCTACCGAGCACCCAGAATGCTACTGCTGAGTGGTGCTGGTGGTGTCATTTTTGGGGTGTTCTGTTCTAACTTTAAACGCTCACTAAACAACCAGTCATGTCAAAGCTACCTGTATTAGAATGACTCAACTTCTGCATTGAATCAAAATGAGCAACTCAGTAGGTCGGTGCATAGCCCAGCAAAGCTCACCAAAGCCACTTCCGTATCTGATTTCTCTGCCAGTGAACTCGTAAGTGTTTTGGCCTCTTACTGACTGTCGCTATCAGCTCCCATTTGCATCCATTTTGCACTTAATCCTGAAGCAATCCTCCCAGAAGACTGCCACAGGATAAGGACAATTTGTGGGCTAAGAAAAGGGGCAGCAGCAACTGTTGCCAGTAGCCGTACTCATGCATAAGAGGCACAGGGGGCCCAAATTGCAATGACCATGGTGTCAGGGGTTGAAAGCCAAGGAAGTCTGCCAAGCTCTGCCTTAAAAGACTGGAGCCAGGGCTAAAGAAAAAAAAATGTATGGAAGAGATCAGTCAGTTCCTTGGGCTGTGACTTGCTACTGAATCAGACCAGGGAAAAATGCAGTCTCCGAAACGTCATCGCTACCCTGCTCTGAAGTTTTATCAGTATAACTCCTGAATCAAGTCATCAGAATTAAGCACCCGGGTATCAAACACAGTGCAATCTCCAGAGACGAAGGGGAAAACAACGGAGCAACACAGGAAAACTCCAGAAAGCCTTTATATGCTTCCTTTACTCTGCCCATCAATGTGATTTTATGAAAAGGGAAAGGGAAATCTGTTTCTTCCACTACTAGCATAGCATTATCACCATCCAACATACAACTGACAAAAAAAAAGGGTGGGTGGGAGGGAGGGATGTATATTAGGCTTGACGAGGGGTGTTAGATTTTAAAGTAATATGATTGCACATGTATANATATGCTGACTCTGTAAACCGCTTAGAGAGGGCTGAAAGCCCTATGAAGCGGTATATAAGTCTAGCTGCTATTGCTATAAATGAGCAAGGAATGTCCCCATTCTGAGTCTTGTAGTCATAAATGTCTGGAGAAACGGAATATATTCTGTTTCCCTACCAGCCCCAATGATTCAGTGTAAACAGGAATCCCTGGGGTGGGGGGTGTCAGCATACCAGAACCTGTATTTATGACTATGAAGTCCAGAAACAAACTTATTCGTAAACCAATTAATGGAAGGATTCTCGGACTGCCTTTCCCCTTGCTTGTTAACACCTAAACTGAGGAGTTAGCAGCTGCTCTGCCCTCAATATTGGCTGATGAAAATAAAAATAATTATTACCTCCGATGCAGGCAGGCTTGTCTTGACTTTCCACTCCCTCCAAACTTAATCATATCTTGGCAAGCTTTGCATTTACCACACTCTGGCTGCTGGCAAACCTGCAGGAAAAAAGCAAGGTGTGTGTGTGTGTGTGCAACTAGATCACAGAGGAAATCTTCCTATCAACCTTCACGTGGAAACTGTTGTTGAATGAGTACTACTGCATGCTTTGAGGACTGGATAAAATCTCACAATCCAAAGCAACCATCATGCTTCAAATTCGCACGACACATAAGGAAAATTCCGGAAAAGTTTACCGTAATTTGTGGTCTATACTGTGAACGTGACCGCTGGATGCTGGCATAATTTGGGATATCCTGGCTAGAAGCAACGCGGCGGTAAAATATAAATGATCAGATACCAAAAATGGCTTAGGGCCAGCGTACCTGCAAGACTGCCTACTGCCACATAACTCCCAGCGGCTGGTGAGATCCCACAGATTGGGCCTCCTTCAGATGCCGTCAGCCAGACAATGTCGGCTGGCGGCTCCCCAGAGGAGGGCCTTCTCTGTGGCTGCTCTGACCCTTTGGAACGAGCTACCCCCAGACATCCGGACCTTGCCCACTCTCATGGCCTTCAGGAAAGCTGTTAAGACCTGGCTATTCTGGCAGGCCTGGGGCTGTTGACCTCATTGTTGAGGTCCAGTCCTGATTAGAACGAATGCATGTGTGGTGCTTTTATATCTGTCTTTTTTTTTAATATAATTTCTTTCTTCCTCTTCTTTTTGTAAGCCGCCCAGAGTCCTTCGGGATTGGGCGGCATATAAATTCTATTAATAAATAAACGTGAATGTACTTAATAGACCAAAAGAAAGGGATCAGAAAGGAGTGGAAGACCGCAAGAATAACCTATGCACAATTTTGGAAATCCACTACCATACCNGGGGGTCAGAACAGCTTAGTATGATGTATACAATCAGTTACACAATGAAGCAGGTATCATTTTCTGACTATCAAAAAGCAAAATGCAACAATCAGTATAGGCGATATCTTTGAAAGACACGAAGCAATGGAGTACAATACAAAACATACAATCCGTTCTGCAGTTGTTTTTTTTAAATCTATGTAATATGCTTTATTTGTACCTTGCAAGATACAGAGGCTTGGTGGGGTCATCGGGGCTCACAGAAACACAATCACCAATTTGCAGAGTCTCTGAATCAATGCACACTTTCTGGTAATAATCTTTCTTGCCATCGCTCTGCAGATAACAACAAACCAAAAGGGATAACAGGAAAAAGAAAGCACAGCAAGACTTCGGCCATACTTCTTCTCTCGCTGTCACTATATCTCAGCAGAAAAGGAATTATGAGTTTGCCTTCGTATTACGGTATTACAATTGGGGAAAAAAAATCTGACTAGAAGTAAAGGCCTTCATTTTTTTGAACCACTCAGATAAACATTTTGTGCTAGAAGCCGGCCTCTGGCCTTTATGGAAATACTACTACTACTGCTACTCCTCCCTTTTAAAAAGGCAAAAATTGGCTCTTCAATTGCAAACGATGCGGATAACTATCTAGGACTATCAGCCCCCTTATACATGTCGTCTACTTCTCCATCCACTTACACAAAACTGGGGTAACCGCTGTGAAAACTGAAGAGGGAATTTTCCCAAGGTACAGCTCAAAGTTGAACTGAATTCTAATTGGTGTTTCTCATGCGGAGACCATACCTTGATAATATCTCCCACCCAGGAAATTCGATTCTTGATTTGCTTTTTCTTCCTGCTCTGCAACATCTTTTTTGGGGAGGGCATTTCAGGAATGTTATCATCCACTTCTTCATCCTCATCGGCCTCTTTCACAGCTAGGTTGGGACACCTGGCGTTAAGACAAAAATGTATATGAAGTTTGGCAACCAAAGAGCCCAGCAATGTAGCCTCTATTCTCCCAAAAGAGCCACCAAGTTCTATACGTTTGCTGGTTGGGAATGAAAGTCCACACATTTTAAGGTTGCCAAGGTTGAGGAACACTGCTAGTAAGAGCCGAGGTGGCGCAGTGGTTAGGGTGCAGTACTGCAGGCCACTTCAGCTGACTGTTATCTGCAAATTTGGTTATTTCCCCCTCTCACACTAGGTCTCAGCTGGCCAACACAATGTTGTGTGAATAAATGGGCTAGTAAGCAACCTTACAGTTGTGTCTTTGAACATAGTTACCAAGCTCAGAACCAATTATATTAAACAAATTGAATGCGTTGAAATAGTATATGAGAGCCGAGGTGGCACAGTGGGTAGAGTGCAGTACTGCAGGCCACTTCAGCTGACTGTTATCTGCAGTTCAGCGGTTCTAATCTCTCCGGCTC